CTTCATGCAACATTGTTGTCATACAATCGTGCATTAAGCTGTTTTCCATCTAAATTCCATTTGCATTAGTACTTTGCATTACTCGCTGTGTATTATCAATTCCTTCAATCCGGTCTGTTCAGACATGACACTGCTGAAACTCAGACAAAATAAATACAACCACACAACTGAGCATGGATCCAAATATGTGACGCCATCAATTAAGCAGGAAGCCAATATGTTGCTTTGTTTGTTTTATAGTTATCAGTGTTTTTCATCCAGATGTAGCTCAAGCTCATATTTATGCTTTTAAAAAACTTCCGTTTGAAGTCGGTTTTATAATTTGTCGGCTTTAATTTGATCTGCGTCGTCCCTGAGACTAAATCCTGCACATTCCCATAATCTCATTTCTGTAAACATATCAGGGAGGCTTCTGCCTTTGTAACAGGTCAAACACCTGTGGGCACCTATGGGTAATGTCTGTCTGCATGAGAACCGTGTGTATTTAACATTAATCATCTTATATGTCATGTCATGTGTGTGTGTGTGTGTTCAGGTGTGGTTTGTTTCCCCTCAGGGCACAATAACAAAGTTCATCATTCCATTAGCCTGAGTGTGTCGTGTGGGATTGAATCAGACAGGAATCATTTGATGCTCACTCCTGTTCGTGCTTCATCGTCTCTCTGTTCTTTAAACCCAGATCTTTTCTGAACGTCTCTCCTGAACCTTCTGCTCCTCGCTGCACTGCCACATGTGGAAAAACATCTGAGTCCATCGAGGCGGCGCCTGGAGCCGGGACTCGCTGTTTTTCGACCTTGGTCCCGGTGCTTGTTTACCTGCTGAGTGGAATGTGGAGTTATGTAAGATTTAATCTATTAGAAAGTACATGTCACTCTGTTACCTGGGCCACAACACACACACACACACACACACACACATGAACCCACACACCGACGCACAGCTCGATGATATGGCCTCTTCTCTCCCATGTATCCACACTGTACTCAAATAAAGGTCCATAACCCTGTGTACACAACACTAATCTTTACAACACACACATGCACGGTGCACACACGTTCTGACACTCGTTTGAGCTCACTGTGTCCTGACGTGTGAACGTTTATGACCAATAGCAGGTTTTTTACAGGCGAGCAACAAAGATAAAGGCCCACTCAGTTCACACACACACACACACACACACACAGTGGAAACTCACTCGCCTCCGCATCGTTAACCAATGTGTTGCCATCATAGAGTCGGCCTCATCTATGGAAAACGTGGCGCTGACGTGATCCCGCCGTGTGTTTGTGTCACCGGTCAATATTTCTTTCCAAAGATTTCTCTTGGTGGAGGCCGTCTCCTCTCTGGCCTCACGCCGAGTCAAACTGCTCGGAAACACCCTCTGAACGTCACTCACCACATCTGCTATCGACGAGCTGCGGCTCATTCCGCCGTTTCCCCTTTAGCATGTCAGTAAATATAGAAATTTGCATACATGACGAACACGTGTGCTGCACAGAACAACTGCTCTGGACGTGTTGCAACCGTTCCTCTTGGTATGTGCAGCTCCAGCTCATTACACAACCCAGTATTAGAGAGATGACCTGAAATTCTTATTTTACCGCCACACGCTGCTTTAATCCACTCATTTGGACGTATGTGACTAAAGCTAATAGTTTTTACTGGAAATGCAACAACAACTTCCTGTATGAGATCGATTCTTTGTCCCACGCAGGAGCAGGAGTGCAGCTGCTCCACATATGTCCCATATGAACTTTTCACCAGCAGCTGTCTGCAGGAGTTTGAAACTGGGTCCAATCCTATTAGAGGGAATGGGTTAGTGCCTATAGGAATCTTAGTAAGCAGCACAACAACACCCACCAAGCTGAGGTCACACCGGGGGCATGTTTGCGTGCGTGGCAGCCAAGTAAATCATCCGTCAAACACGGCAGCCATGAGGCTAAAGCTTACCGAGCAGGACAGAGTCGTAGTGAGACACATTCGAAAAGGGCTTAACGGAGAGTGGTGACACGCAAAGACGCTGCGCCGGAAACCTCCCGATGGAATCCAGGAGAACGGGGCTGTGCAATGCAGGAATTCTAATATTTCTACTTCCTGCTTGAAAGTTAGTTTTGTTTACTCTTTTTCATTTTGGGTAAAATATTCAAACATCTCGTAAAGAACGTTTTTTCTTTTCCCATCGTTTCCTGGAAACCAGATTCTTTTGTCCTGTTGACAAACAAACGATCTCCTCAATATAACGAGTGATGAATGAACTCGGTGGATCTCATGACCCTGGACTCGGTCAAAGCTCACGCCCCCCCCCCCGAGAACAATATAATTAGATTGATGTGTAACAAGTTGTTTTCCAGCAGAGCTCCAGATCTTGAGCCGGTGACGTTGCATAAGATGCATCAGAGGCTGGTGTTGTGTTTGCTGTGGAACGTGATACTGTGTGTGTGTGTGTGTGTGTGTGTGTGTGTGTGTGTGTGTGTGTGTGTGTGTGTGTTCGGCTTCTGCTGTGAGGTGTCGAGACAGGAGCAGGAGTCACTGTCATCAAGTTCAGACGCAGATAAAGAGAGAACAGCGTGATCACAAACACAGGGAGGCCTGGCAATAAACTCGACAACGCTTCCGGTGCATAGAGTTCCTCCTCCTCCTCCTCCTCCTCCTCCTCCTCCTCCTCACATTAATGTGTCATCAACACCTGACTTCTTCTTCGGAGGCCTCGTGCTGTGTCGTTGCAGAACCACGTCCAAATACCAAACATCCCTGCACCTTCTGTTGTGAGCTCATCGTTCATTCACATGGTGCCGGTGGAAACTGATTCATGTTACACATACACACGTATGTGAGAAGCTGCTCATCTTAATATCTTAATAAACACTGGAACTCTGTGTTTGACGAAGAGGATGGGTCGGGTTTGTACATGAAAATGAGCCGACTGACCAAACAATGACTCATTCAGGATTTCAGCATCAGATGAAGGAGCTGAAATTAAAGAAGAGTTGTCGATGAGAAGAGGTCACAGTGCCCTTGACCTTTGACCTTCACCAGAATACAGAGACCCGGGGCCCCGGTCTCAGAGTCAAACCGAGGCCAGGCCGGGGTCACCGAGGGGCCGCTGCGGCGATCGCTCTTACTCAACACGATGTAACGGAGCAGGAGAGCGGTCAAGGATTTCAACTGAAATTCATGTGGAGAGGGAGCGGGGGGGGGGGGGGGGGGGGGGGGCTGTTATGACACAGCATGTTATGACAGACGGACGACAGACAGCTATTAAAAAGGTAAAAAAAGAAGAGAGCACAGACCGCAGTCTGGGACGTAGCGATGTGTGAAGCCATTCTACTTTTATCCAAAGGTCACCGGGCACCGTCCGCGGAGCCGCCCGGCTCGCACTCAGCCGGCCCACAGAGCGAAAGTGTTCAGTGTTGTGCGGCTCGTGGGAACAGGATCTCTCTGTCCTCAGCGCTCCTGACGTTTGACTAAGATTATGTGGTGAGGAGTTCAATCAGGCCCGAAGGCGCCGCAGCATCAAAACCATTCTTTGGCAAGCGTGATGTTATTTCTGTTCTTTCATTGTGTTTATAAAACAGCTGCTGGGAACACATATTAGACGTGTGGGCACACGCTGTACTGAAAACACTGCCTGTCACTCATGTAGCTTAGCTTTAGCCTCGGAGCCGCCATCAACAGCTGTAACGTACAAGTAGCATGAAAAGATCTCGACTTCATCTCTTCTCTAAATGGCTTCATTTTCTTTTGACATTTATTTAAAATTCAATTATATTATTTGATCTGTTTCATCATTTGTTGTCACTGATTTTGTATTTTAGTAATTGTTGTTTTTGATTTTTGTATCGGCTGTTTTGCAAAGTCCTATAGAAATAAATAATACAACTACTGCAACTTTGAGTATCTTTACTTCTCTCTCTGTGCATTGACCCGGACGTGCAGCTGTAACAAAGTGTTTTCCCAGTTTGGGATCAATAGATTCATCCATCGAATCCAATCAGGAAGGAAACATGTTTCCTCTGCTTCGTCCACGTCAAGTGTCCTTCACAAGAACGAATTTCTCAGTGTGAGAAACCAGCAGGAGACAGGAAGCGTTGGAGACCCTCTCCCACGTCTCTCTCTGAGTGAGGCCCCCCCCGTGCCTCTCTGGCAAACTCACACTGAGGCCTACAACAACACACTATAAACACACCCCCCCCCCTCTCGGTGCTGGTGCGTGCCACGAAAGCAGTGACGTCAGTTATTTACTGTCTTGTAGGTCACTGTGCGGCGCAGCAGCACATCCAGCTTATGTAACTACTGCCCCTGTGCTGCATGACAGCATGACTGCAGAGTGTGTGTGTGGTGGGTGATGTCGTGCACACACACACACACACACACACACACACACACACACACACACACACACACACACAAACACACACACTGTAAACAGCCTCCCTCTCTCTCACTACCTCCACAAACATATCCCAGCATCCTCCACTGCAGCAGCAGCAGCAGAGAAGTAAACAACCCTGGCTGTCATGTGACTCAGCTCAGTGCAGCCCTGCGCCTCATGCACAGACAAAGCGCGCCCTCTGGCGGCTGCAGCGAGCAATCAACAGTCCTCAATTCTGGATTTCGCCTCACTGTCACCATCTGGTGGCGAGTAAAGGTACTTACAAATCATCGCTGAATTAATTCAAGAATCGTTAAAATGTTGTTTTCCTGTGTTACTGTCGGTTAATATATAAAGTTAATTATTGATAATATTGTTTTAATGTTGTTGCTCTTGTTGACACCGAATGCAGCGAAAACAAAATCACGGAAAATGCAGTTTAATATAAAAACATGGTAAACTTACGTTACAACATAATAATTCATTCCAGATGAAACGTTAAAAAACGTGACGTATTTAAGATGTGACGTCACTGTAGTTTAACCACTAAACGTAAAAGTTTCTGAACATTTAAAATGATCGACCGGGCGTCGGAACAAATGTTCAGCTCTTGTTTCGAGGGGGAACGTTTTTAACTCAGGTACCTGCTTTGTCAATAAGGAAGTGGAGTTTCTCTCTGTGTGGTTTTGTTTGTTTGGAGGAATAAAGAAGGTAATGATGAGTTTTATGATTAATAGTTCGTTTAACTGTTAATTTTACAACATGTGTCGTCTCTGATCTTCAAACTGAGTTTAAGAGCGATTCATTTTTTTAAATGAAAGCAAATTAAAACGCTTAGTTTATCCACATTTTGTTTTGTGTGAACATGATATCACATAAAGGTGATTTTACAAACCAATCTGAAATATTTGGAATGTTCTTCATTTGTCTGGACAAACTTTTTGACCACAGTCTGTGGGACATGTCCGGACAACACACACTGTGACTTTTATTTTGAAGACATCACTGGAGTTGTAGTTTTCTCTCCTCCTCGTGTTGATGTAAATATATTTCAACTTTGTATGATATGTTTTGTGTAATGTCTGATGTGTGTGTGTGTGTGTGTGTGTGTGTGTGTGTGTGTGTGTAGTATTAAATCACCTCCTCATGTGAATCACATTACAACAGGTCCTGGTGGAGGGAGACATGTCTCAGTTGAAGTTTGACCTTTTTGGACCAATAATCTGCAACAGGAGTTATAACAATACTTATCTCTTAATAATTAAAGTCTTATGACTCATCAGCCGAGAATAACAAAACAAATGGAAATGATTTCAAAGATATATTAACAATAGAAATGAGAGGAAAAGGTAAATAAAAGGAGATTTTTACATCGACAGAGAGAAAAATGGAATAAAAGTGATGTGTGTAACATTTTACGTTGCGTTTAAAGACTTCAACACTTGAGGAGCCGCACTGGTTCACACACTGTGAGCATGTGATACATTGAAGCAGATGCAAGACCATGAAAGAATCTAAAAATATCAACACAGAAAGTGAATCACTGAAGGACTTTCGTCCAGGAATGATGTTGTCAAACTGCAAAGTAAAGTGATGATTCAGTTAATTTCCTCCGTGTGTTACAGATTGCACCATGGAGGGACCTTCCACAAGCAGCGCTGCTGAAGAACCATCTGTTGCAGCACAAGTTCCTTTCCTTCACCTGTGCACCACTTTAGAGAAAATCCAGAAGTCCAAACTCCGTCCTGATAAATCCAAGATCCTCAGAGATTTCATCGAGTCGTGGAGGAAGTTTCACTCCGCCCTCCACAAAGACAATCCCAACACAACTGACTCTTTCTACCCAGCTATGCGCCTCGTCGTTCCCTCGTTCGAACGGGAGCGGATGGCTTATGGCATCAAGGAGAACATGTTAGCTAAACTCTACATCAATGTATTAGGCCTCCCACAGAACGGCCCAGAGGCCAATAAACTGTTGAACTACAGAGCTCCCACTACGTCCCAAGGAGAGGCCGGAGACTTTGCTGGCATGGCGTACTTTGTGCTGAAGAAACGATGCACCAGCCAAGGAAACCTCAGCATCAAAGAAGTCAATGAATTTTTGGACACGGTGGCGATCAACAACGCGGGCAAGCAGAAGGATCTCGTGAAAAAGGGTCTCCTGCACCTCATCACCCAGAGCTCAGCTCTGGAGCAAAAGTGGCTCATCAGGATGATTTTGAAGGACATGAAGCTCGGGATCAGCAAAGAAATAGTTCTCCAAGTCTTCCACCCAGATGCTACTGAGCTCTACAACGTCAACACAGACTTGAACAAGGTTTGCCAGCAGCTCCACGACCCGTCCTTGTCTCTGAGCGAAGTCTCCATCGGCCTTTTCTCTGCCTTCAAGCCGATGTTAGCAGCTGTGGCCAACATCCGCAATGTGGAGAAACAGATGGGCAACAGTCCCTTTTACATCCAGACCAAGCTGGACGGGGAGCGTATCCAGCTGCACAAAGACGGAGACGTGTACAAATACTTCAGTCGAAATGCTTTTGAATACACGCAGCAGTTTGGAGGATCGCCCCTGGAGGGCTCACTGACACCTCACATCCATAATGTGTTTAAACGTCATGTGGTGAACTGTATCCTCGATGGTGAGATGATGGCGTACAACCCGACCACAGAGACCTTCATGCAGAAAGGAAGCAAGTTCGACATCAAGAAGCTGGTGGACGACTCTGGGTTGCAGACATGCTTCTGTGTGTTTGACGTGTTACTCATCAATGGACAGAAGTTTGCCAATGAAACACTGCAGAGGCGCTACGAGGTAATTAACACCGTTTTCACACCAGTCAAGGGAAGGATTCACCTGGTGCCGAAGAGCGATGCCAGAACCAGGCAAGAGGTGGTGAACGCCCTCAACGATGCCATAGACAGCAGAGAAGAGGGGATCCTGGTGAAGGATCCGCTATCCATCTACAAACCTGACAAACGAGGGGAAGGATGGCTGAAGATAAAGCCAGAATATGTCGATGGCTTGATGGATGAACTTGACCTGCTGATCATCGGCGGCTACTGGGGCAAAGGGAGACGAGGCGGCATGATGTCCCATTTCTTATGTGGCATTGCTGAGGCTCCGAAGCCTGGCGAGAACCCGTCAGTGTTTCACTCGTTCTGCCGCATCGGCTCTGGCTACACCATGAAGGAGTTGTACGACCTTGGTTTGAAGCTCGCCAAGCACTGGAAGGTTTACCGGAAAACTGACCCCCCCGCCTCCATCCTGTGTGCAACAGAGAAGCCAGAAGTCTACATCGAGCCCTGCAACTCTGTCATCATTCAGGTCAAGGCGGCGGAGATAGTCAGCAGCGACATGTACAAAACCAACTGCACCCTGCGCTTCCCAAGGATTGAGAAGATCCGCGATGACAAACAGTGGCACCAGTGCATGACTCTGGCAGAGCTGGATCAGTTCCGCAGCAAGGCGCTGGGGAAGCTCGCCTCGCGGCACCTTAGCATCAACAACGAGGAACCGCAGAAGAAGAAGCGCAAGGTGGCACCCAAACCTAAGAAAGTGGTCGGAATCATCGACCACTTTAAGCCGCAGGACTTCTCCGCGGTTACCAAGGAGACGGATATGTTTGAGGATGTGGAGTTCTGCGTCCTGAACGGCACCGCGGATCACCCCAAGGCGGAGCTGGAAAAGGGCGTCGTCAGGTAAAATAAAAACTTGTGATTCTGTAATTTGTTGAAACCATAGACCAGCTATTACTTAAAGTCTGTTACTGTAAATAACTGCTGTCCTGTCCATGCAGGTGTGGAGGCATCGTGGTTCAAAACCCCGGGCGTGACACCTACTGTGTGATCGCCGGCGTGGAGAACATGCGCGTCAAGAACCTGATTTTGTCCAACCAGCACGACATGGTTTGGGCGTCCTGGCTGCTGGAGTGCCTGCAACAGAAGGAAGTGGTCCCATGGCAACCGCACCACATGATCCACATGTCGCCCTCCACCAGGGAGCACTTCTCCAAGGAGTACGACAGCTACGGCGACAGCTACCACGTGGACACGGACGAGCAGCAGCTGCGCGAGGTGTTCGGCCGCATCGGCAGCAGCAACGAGCCGGCGGCCGTGAACGTCGGGCAGGTGGAGCAGCGCTACAGCTGGGACGACCTTCCCACCAGCATGTTCAGACCCTTCAGGGTTTACATGGACAGCCGTGCTGACGTAGGAGAAACCGAAACAGCCGTACCTGCGTCCTGTGTGGACATCAGGGCGCTGGAGTTCCGTTACCATGGCGGCGTGGTGGAGCAGAAGTTGGAGGAAGGCGTCTCTCATGTCATCATCACAGAGGAAACAAGACTTCTGGATTTCAGGACTCTGAGGCGGAGCTTCAGGAAGAAGTTTAAGATTGTAAGAGACTCGTGGGTGAGTGACTCGATCGAAGCCGGATATGTGATGAATGACAACGATTATTTAGTTTGAAGAGTCTCACGTGACAACAGACTTTTTTAATTCTTTCCGAATAAAGTGAGTGTAGAGATTTTAATCAACTCAGACAAACATTCGCTATTAAAAGAAAAAGATGAGATTTTTTAACTTAATGTTTTTTGCATCTAGAATCATTTTATTATTCAAATCTAGAAGCCAATTCTTATTTTTTACCTAAAACTTTAAGATAAGCAGTTTTCAGACGTGTACTCAGGAGTTTTGCTTTCACGCAGCCGGAGATTGTCCGACTCGTTCACAGCAACAGGAACATGTGGGGAACATTCAGGCGAAGGGTGGAGCCTGTAGAGCAGCGGGAGGCGGGACATGATGTATAAATTCTGTTGTATACAGATATGACACGACAACAATAATATATACGTGTCCTCACGTGGACTCACTCCAACATTTCATCAGGGGGCTGGAAGAGTATTTATTTCCCTGTGTGTGATCTTTGCCTTTATGCTTTTGTGTCTGTTCCATCACATAATAAATACAAGTCCAATAATGGTTTTTAAAATTAGTAATTAACTTTAAATGTGTGCGTGTGAAGCGATGGCCTTTGCCTCAGCTCTGTAGCGCGCTCCGCTGGTGGAGACGGACCGAGGGGCACCACAGGTGTACGTCAAAACTGCTTCAGCTCAAGGCCCTTCAGCCAAGATGTCGCCATTTTTTCCCGTCTCCAGAAATGTCACCAATGTGCCCTGGGACTCATTGATATGTTATAACCTTCATCACCATCGCCGCCGGGGTGCAGGGTGCCGCCTGTGGTGTCCTGCATTGCAAATGCCGCATGAATACATTTCCAAGGTAAAAGTGATGGAGAAGCTGTTTCTCATCATATCTTGTGAATTAACCCTGATAGGTTTGTGTTTCTTCCAACGTTGTTAAAGTGAAATTTGAGGCTGTTTCCGCTGAGAAAACTTTGAGAGGGAAAGTGTCTGGACTCATGAGCTGTGTGTAACCTGTCGCCCACTCTGGACTATTTCCAGGTGATGCAGAGTGAGCGTTTGACTGACAGGCTTTAATTTGAGGTGCTCAGCCAGTGCTTATTCCTGCCAGGCTTCAACAAACACTTCAACCACCAGCTCTCTGAGAGATGACAGATCCTCGCTCTGCAGAAACACCACGTCCTGACGGGGAAGGTGCTCTATCTCGGCCGGTTGTAGCTCTTCCAGATCATCCATCAGGAAGTGACATCTGTGAGCACATCGGACGCGGCAGAAACAAATAGTTCGTAAGTGGCACAGATGAAATGATTTAGGTCAAGGTCACCTCTCAAACCACAGGTTTTAACTTGTGAAATATCCAGAACGCTCCAGGGAATCCTTTCACTTTTGAGACTTACTTCAAATTTGGTGCAAACTTAGACTAGAAAATGAACTGACTGGATTTCAGCAGTGAAAGGTTCCATTTCTTTCTCGTGAAATCATCTTCTCTGCAGAAACAACCGAAACACACGACAGCACCTGGACACGTGCAGACTGTGCTGATCTGGAGTCAGACATGTAGAAGCATGAGGTTGATCCTCTTCTGTAGGTGAGGGCTTCTGGCCTGAGGCTGGAATCAGGTGAGTGACCTGTCGGTTGGTTCAAAGTCAAGTCAGTCACAACTACAACAACTCTGCGTCTGTGTATTTTCAAAATAAGACTGCAAAACCTCTTTCCCTCTCAGTTCGTCCACCTGTTTGGTTTTAGTGTTGTTTCTTATTTACGTTTCGCTCCATACACACAAATACTTCAAACCGAATATTTATTAGTATATTATTACAATATTTGTACACGGACATCCTTCGACTGTGGTGCGCGCGCACACCGTCAGAGATGGAGGATTTGTCAAGAGAAAGAAGGAAGCAGCAAAAAACGGAAATCAGGGGCTGTGACCTTCAAAATTAAACATACTATGTAACATTCCAACAA